CTTTTTCTTGGCATATTCAATACCTTGAGAAAAGATCTGCGTCCTCTCCCTAATGTCCTCCTGACGGTATTCGACCTGATGCTGCAAATCCAGCCTCAGGTCTGCCATGTGCTTCACTACGACTCCCATGGCCTCGGCATCTCTCTGAAACCTCGCCTGCTTGGCCTCTGCAGCACGAGCAGCCGCCTCAGTAGCTCGGGAAGCCGCCTCAGCAGCTCGGGAAGTCGTCTCGGCAGCACGAAGAGCCTCTTCAGCAGCTCGTGCCTGCCTTGAGCTCCTTTCCACCTGGGCCGCCAAGGCGTGGATAGAAGAGTTCACCTACCAAAAAGAACGAGTGATCAAAAGAACGACAACAAGAAGGATAAAAGCAAAAGAGCTTGATAAAAAGTTTGACTTACCACCATGGCATTAGTCCCCGAGCCCGAGGGCCCAGCTCGCGTATGAGCAGACCCAGAGTAAGCAGGAGCACCAGAGTAGGTGGGAGTCCCCGTGTAAGTAGTCTCAGCATACGGGTCCCCTGCCGCTTCTTGCATTGGAGGAACCATCTCGGGCTCCCTGGGCGGATCCCCTGACGGATAGCCCGGTACCACGGGCTCCGCATCCCGGGGCAGCTCGGCGCGAGTTCGCTTTGCGACTCGCTTCCTCCTCTTCATGCCTTGAAACAAGTGCCCACCACGAGTCCTTCCTGAGTCCATCACACCTGCAAAAAAGAGTTCGGCATCAGAAAAAAGCCGGACAAAGCAAAATAAAACCTCCAAGAAAGGAACCTACCCGAACTCAGGCCGGCCGCAATGAGCTTGGCCTCCGTCAGATACCGTTGGCACTTTAGCCCAAGCCGCGCCCATTGCCGGAGGCCCTTCGCCGTCTCTTTGTCAAGCGTAACACCGGAGTCAGGGGCGGCCACCCCCCACCCGGTCTGAAACGGCCACCCCAGCACACTTCGCACCCCAAAGTAGTCCCGCTTCCACGCCGAGACCTTGTTAGGAAGATTATGTAAAAGCTTAAAACCCGGGTGAGGAGACAGGTAATACGCCCGTCTACGCCCGGGGAGGAGACCCGCTTGCTTCTTAAGCATTAAGATGGAAGAGAAGATCTCCAAATCTAAAGGAAAGCCCTGTTCGCTAAATAGGGAGATTGTCCCCACCAAATTACGAATGGAGTTTGGGTGAAGCTGGCCGACCGTAACGCCGAAGTGATTCAAGACCTCGACAAGGA